CATAACTGAGCAGAAGTAATAATCAGTGAACTTGAAGATAGGCTATGGAAAATGTATAATCAAGAAGAAAAAAATGAGTGAGAAGGAACAAAGATTGCATGAGATCTATGAAACACTATAAAAATAGCAAATACACATATAATTAGAGTTTAAGAGGAACTAAAATAATTAAAAAAGGAATAGAATGCTTCCTCAATGAAATACTGGAAAACTTTCTAAAGCTGGATAAAATTACAAATATCCAGGTAGAGATAGGTCAGAAGTCACCAACATGGCTCAATTCAAATAAGATCTCAAGACATACTATAATCACAATCTCAAAGGTTAATGACAGATCAAAAGCAGTGAGAGGAAATAAGAAAGTACCACATATACCAATATGCCTTGCAATTGACTTCTTAGTGGTGGGAGAATATATTTGAAGTGCTGAAGAAACAAATAATCAAACAATCAACCAAAATAACTATACCCATCAAAGTTTTCCTTAAAAAATGTAAGATAGATTAAGACATATCCACACAAACACAAGCTGAGGATATTAATTGTCACCACACCTATCTTATAAGAAATGCTAAAGGGAGTTCTTTAAACTGAAAGAAAAGAAATCTAACATGTAACATGAACAGATCTGAAGATATAAAACCAACAGATAAAAGTAAGTATCCAGATAAATCCAGAATACTCGAACATGGTAATTGTGAGATGTAAACCAATTATTTCCCTAGTAGGAATATTATAAGACAACAAATAAAAATAACAATAACTATAATAATTTGTCAAGAAACAGAAATACAACACATGCAAATTATGATGTAAAAGGTTATGATTCACTGTAAGTACCTACATAGACTGAAAATGAACTAGTGGAGAAAGATACTCCATGCCAACAGAAATTTTAAAAAGCAGTGGTAACTATACTTAAATAAGATAAAACAGACTTCAAGGGGAGGACCAAGATGGCAGACTGGAGACAGCAGGTGAGTGCCTCTCTTATCCAAAGGGTTTTAAAAAATGAGTGAGGCTGGATCTTTGTAAGACTGCCTGGAAGTATAAGCTGAGCTTCATTAGATGATCACTTGGGACCACTGAGAACAGATACGTCGAGGCCTCAATCACCTTCAGAATCAGTTCCGGTGTGACACTGGGAAAAGACCTCTTGCAAAGGTAGGGGTGAGTGAATGAGAGATTTTACACACCTCTCACTGACCTCTGCAGTCCTAGCCACAGGAGAGACAACACCAGCCCTCTTTATTGCAACTCTCTTGCTCCAGCCAAATGTTCAATCTGCCTGGAATTCGGAGACAAGTACTGATTGATCTGGAGACTACAGGGCTTTGGCTTCTGGTAAGACATGGTGCTGGATGCCGCCACTCTTCCTTCCCTCAAAAGACCCTGTGGGACACACTCTGCAGATGTGGTCTGTCCTGAATGGGTTTTCCCTTTTCCCTCTCCCTCTACCCCCAGCCAAAGTGGCATGCCCATCTTGGAAGTGTCATGGTCCTAGCACCCACCCCAAACCCAAATCACAATTGCAGTCATGGCTTTCCCCTAAGGGGAAAGCAGGACAACACTGCTTTTGTCCTTCCCATGGAGCAAGGAAGAAGAGCACTTCTGCTACTCCTAAGGAGGTATGAACTTAGTACCCAGGTGAGGAGGAACTGCCCCACCCCTGCTGGATCAAGTTTGGGTGCCAAGAAGTAGGACATCCTCCTAAAGTTCATAAGGAACAAAAAGAAACCAAAAACAAACTCGAATAGCTAAAGAAATATGAATCAAAAGGAATTCTGAAAGCATCACAATGCCTGACTTCAAATTTATAACAAGGCTATAGTAACTAAAACAGCATGGTACTGGAATAAAAATAGACAGATCAATGGAACAGAGTAGAGAACTTAGAAATAAAGCCATACCCTCAGCCAGCTGATCTACAACAAATTCAGCAAAAATAAGTAATGGGGTCTATTCAATGAATTATGCTGAGAAAATTGGCTGGCTACATGCAGAAGAATGAAACCACTCCTTTTATCATATACAAAAATTAACTCAAGATGAATTAGAGACTTAAATGTAAGCCATGACAATATAAAAATTCTAAAAAAACCTCTTCTGAGCATTGAGTTAGGCAAATAATTTATGCAGAAGACCTCAAAAGCAAATGCAACAAAATAAAAATAGGCAAATGGGACTGAATTAAACAAAAAACTTCTGTATAGCAAATGAATAATCAACAGAGTAAACAGACAACCTACAGAGTGTGAAAAAATATTTGCAAATTATGCCTTTGACAAAAGACTAATATCCAGAATCTACAAAAACTCAAACAATTCACTAACAGAAACCCCAAACTATCACATTAAAAATAGAGCAAAGAATATGAACAGATATTTCTCAAAAGAAAAAATACTAATGGCCAAAAAATGCTCAACATCACTGATCAGCAAATAAATTCAAATTAAAACCACAGTGAGATATCATCTTACACCTGTAAGAATGATCATTACTAGATAGATAGGTAGGTAGATAGATAGAACAACAGATGTTGGCATGTATGCAGAGAAAAGGGTACACTTATACACTTTTGGTGGGAATGTAAATTAGTTCACCCTCTGTAGAAAATAGCATGAAGATTTCTTAAAGAAATAAAAATAGAACTACCACTTGACCCAATATTACTCAATTACACTACCAGGTATATACCCAAAAGAAAAGATGTCATTATGTAAAAATGGCACCTGCACTCATTTGTACATGGCAGCACTATTCACAATAGCAAAGTCATGGAACCAACCTAAGTGCCCATGAAAATGACTAATTGCCTGATCCCTAAAGGTTTCCAGGCCTTCACATTTACCCATCACTAACTCACTGACTCATCCAGAGAGACTTCCAGTTCTGCAAGCTCCATTCATGGTAAGTGACCTGAATATGTGTACCTTTAAAAAAATCTTTTATTCATATTTTTACAGTACCATTTCTGCTTAAATATATTTAGGTACACAAATATTTATCATTGTGCTACTATTGCCAGTAGTATTCAGTATAGTAACATGCTGTACAGGTCTATAGCCTAGGAGAATAGGCTGTAGTATGTAGCCTAGACGTGTAGTACGCAATGTATCATCTAGATTCATTTAAGTATACTCTGTGATGTTTGCACAATAACAGAACTGCTTCACAACCCATTTCTCAGAGTATTTCCCTCTCACTAAGTGACACAATACTGTGTGTAGTATCAGAGTATGGTTATTTATGTACTTCTCCCTTACTCTCTATGCTATGAGAACCTTGAAGATCTTATCTTGCATTTATTGTATTCCTGGAAGTAACATAAAAAGGTCTTTACAAATGCTATGGGACTAAATCAACAAGCCTAGAAAAATAAACCTCTGCACGAGCTTACCACAGCTTACCCTGCCCTCCTTCATACCCTCACTTTCCCTGTTTAAGTAACTTAGGTTCAACGTGAGTTTTTGGTGTGATTTGACTTGAAGCAGACAGTCTATTTTCAAAAGGGAACTTGACCATATTTCAATTGCTTAAACTAAAGAGTTTCTTCATAGAAAAAGAAACTATCAATAAAGTAAATAGACAACATACAGAATGAGAGAAAATATTAGCACATTATGCATGAAACAAAGGGAATATTCAGAATATATAAGGAACTTGGAAAAAGAAGACATACAAACAGCCAACAAAAATATTTTTAAAATGCTCAACCTTGCTAATCATTAAAGAAATGCAAACCAAAACCAAAATGAGATACCATCTCACAACAGTCAGAATTACTATTATTAATAAGAAAAAAAAAACAATAGATACTGGCAAGGTTGCAAGGTAAAAAGAACCCTCAAACATTGCCGGTGGAAATTTAGAATAGTATAGCCACTGCAGAAAGCAGTTTGAAGATTTTCAAAAAAACTAAAACTAGAATTATCACTTGACTGACAATCTCATTACTGGGTATATACCCAAAGGAAAATGAACTGTTCTGGCAAAAGGCACTCCCATTCACATTTATTGCAGCACTCTTCAAGATAACAAAGGTAGGGAACCAAACTAGGTACCCATCAGTGGTAGATGGATAAAGACAATGTGGAACATATACACCATGGAATACTATGCAGTCATTAAAAAGAACAAAATCATGTCCATTGTAGCAACATGGATGCAGGTGCAGGCAGTTAGTCTAAGAATATTAATAGAGAAATAGAAAACTAAATACCACATGTTCTTGCTTATAAGTGGGTGTTAAACACTGGGTATAAAAGGACATAAATATGAGAACACACCTAACCCTGAACTGTACCAAACATCTTTAAAATAAAAGTTAATAAAAGATGAGAACAGCAGACACTGGGGACTCATACAGTGAAGAAGAGGAAAGTGAAGATTGAAAAGTTATCTATTTGGTACCATTCTCACTATTTGAGAGGAAAGTTCAATAAAAGCCCGAACTTCACCATCACAACATAAACCCATGTAAGAAGGCTGTGCATAATACCCTTTGAATTAAAAAAAATCATTGATTTCACTAATTCTTTAAATCAAAATTCAATACTAAAAAAGCAAAGAACTTACTTTCTAAAGGAAAATAAAAAGTACTTCACTTTTGATTGCCACAAATTACAAGTTCTGCAAACCATGTAGTGTGTTTATTTTGCTTACAAGAATGTGGACATCAGAGGTCAGTGTTTTTTTGAGGTACTGCTGACATCATGAATTTTTGCAAAGTAGAACTTTAAACAGATTTCATTGTCAAATGTTGAAATTGTGTCAGCAAAAAGTTCTCTTTGACTTTAATAAAAAAGGGGTTAATTACCTGATTGCCAAATAACCTGTGCATGGCCCAGCTGCAAATGTGAAGCAGTCTCATTAGAAGAAAGTGGGGCCAGAGTCAACCTGCACTTAATGTGACTTAAAGGAAGAAAACACTTTTCTCTCTTTGAATTTATCTGGATACAATTATTTTGCCTTCTGTACACTTTACCTATTCTGCCTTAATGCCCTTTCACGACCTTTTGGATCAAGTTGGTGGCCTTGGAAGATACCAGATCCTTCAGCTGATTTTCTTTATGATCACTGCTCTTTTTGTTTATTCTCATGTTGTATTGGAGAATTTCACTGCAGCTATCCCTGAACATCGCTGCTGGGTCCACATTCTGGACAATGACACTGTCTCTGGCAATGACACTGGGACTCTCAGCCAGGATGCTCTCCTGAAAATCTCTATCCCACTAGACTCAAACCTGAGACCAGAGAAGTGTCGTCGTTTTGTCCATCCCCAGTGGCAGCTCCTGCACCTGAATGGAACCTTCTCAAACATGAGTGAGCCAGACATAGAGCCCTGTGTGGATGGCTGGGTGTATGATCGGAGCTCTTTTCTATCCACCATTGTGACTGAGGTAAGAGGCCCCACTGGGTGTTTAGAAATAAACACAAGTAAATATCATGCTTGCAGCTGTTAGCTACATGGTGGTGCTTATTCTTCATTTTTTCAACAAAAAATAATTGCTTCTCCATTAAATGTCAGAAAATTACATAGGTAATGAGGCTAATAAATTAAAAATTAGTTATGATTCTGCTCTCTTAGTGCTTTCATTCTTGGGAAGACCAAGGTTTAAGCAGGTAATTCTTGTGTTTTGTTATAAATGTTATGCTAAATCAGTAAGGCTCATTCTGTGGTCATAAATTAGAAACATACAGAAAATTGATTGAGAGCTCTTTACTCAGATTGTACCTCAAAAACAGCCATAGAAGGTCTGCATCAATATTCAGGATTCAGTAAAATTTTAATAGTCCTCAAATGATGTACTCTGTGACCAAGGTTGGTCACTTAGTATGAGTACAAGTGGTCATTAATATAACCTATAGGTTTCTAGAAAACATTATGTTTAAGTTGAGACTTGAACATTCAAATCCCCTTGAGAACTAAAATGAACAAAAATTTATTCACCTCTTTCTTTACCCCAATGATAATGGGCTTGCCAGCAGTAATATTGATTATTATGCTCCCAACCATTTTATTCCCCATCTCAAGTCATCTGATTAATAACCGACTTATCTCTTTACAACAATGACTAATCCAACTAGTACTTAAACAAATAATAGCTATACATAACAATAAAGGTCGAAGCTGATCCCTGATACTAATTTCCCTAATCCTATTTATTGGATCCACAAACCTTTACACCTACTACTCAACTATCAATAAACTTGGGAATAGCAATTCCTTTATGAGCAGGGGCAGTAATTACTGGCTTCCGCCACAAAACTAAAGCATCCCTATCTCATTTCCTCCCACAAGGAACTCCTATTCCCCTGATCCCCATACTAATTATTATCAAAACTATTAGTCTTTTTATTCAACCAATAGCCCAAGCCATACGATTAACTGCTAACATCACAGCAGGTCACTTATACGTTTAATTGGAGGGGCCATTCTAATTCTATCATCAATTAACTCCATTGCAGCATCAACTACATTCATTATTCTTACACTGCTTACGATCCTCAAACTAACTGTAGCCCTTATCCAAGCCTATGTATTTATACTCTTACTAAGCCTTTATTTACATGACAATACATAATGACCCACCAAACACATGCCTATCATATAGTAAACCCTAGCCCCTGACCACTAACTGGAGCCCTCTCTCCTCTTCTCATAGCATCAGGTCTTGTTATATGATTTCACTTTAATTCCTTTATACTCCTAGCCCTAGATCTTATTACTAATGCACTTACCATATACCAATGATGACATGGTATTATTCGAGAAGGCACATTTCAAGGCCACCAAACATCAATTGTACAAAATGGTCTCCAATATGGCATAGTCCTCTTTATCATCTCAGAAGTCTTCTTTGCAGGCTTTTTTTGAACCTTTTACCACTCCAGCCTAGCTCCAACTCCTGAACTAGGAGGCTGCTGACCCCCAACAGGTATTCATCCCTTAACCCCTTAGAAGTTCCCCTACTTAATACATCCATATTAATAGCCTCAGGTGTGTCAATTACTTGAGCTCATCATAGCCTAATAGAAGGTAACAGTAAACAAATACTCCAGTGACACTGTCTCTGGCAATGACACTGTTTATCACCATCTTATTAGGTATTTATTTTACTTTACTTCAAGCATCAGAATATTTTGAAACATCTTTCACTATCTCTGATGCAGTCTATGGCTCAACATTCTTTATGGCTACAGGCTTTCACGGACTCCACATTATCATTGGTTCAACTTTCTTAGCCATCTACCTCCTCCGACAATTAAAATTTCACTTTACGTCTAGTCATCACTTCAGATTCGAAGCCACTGCCTGATATTGACACTTCGTTGATGTGGTCTGACTATTTTTATATGTCTCTATTTATTGATGAGGAACTTGTCCCTTTAGTATTAATTAGTACAGTTGACTTCCAATCAATTAGCTCTGGTACACTCCAGAAAGGAACAATAAATTTAATGTTTTCCCTATGTATGTTTCACAAACATAACACTCGCACCACTCCTAGTCACCATTGCATTTTGACTTCCACAACTCAATAGATACACAGAAGAGTCCAGTCCTTACGAATGTGGCTTTGACCCAACAGAATCAGCTTGTCTGCCATTTTCTATAAAATTCTTCTTAATTGCTATTACTTTCCTCCTATTTGACTTAGAAATTGCCCTTCTACTTCCCCTTCCCAGAGCCACCCAAACAGTAAACCTCAATCTTATATTAATAGTAGCTCTAGCTTTAGTTACAATCCTAGTCCTAGGACTCGCATAAGAATGAGTCCAAAAAGGACTTGAATGGACCTAATATGGTGATTAGTTTGACTAAAAACAAATGATTTTGACTCATTAGACTATGAATAATACACAATCACCAAAATCTATTCTATTAATCTATTTATATTAATCTACTCCTCACTTTCCTAACATCCCTCCTAGGTATACTAATATATCGATCACACCTCATATCTTCTCTATTATGTCTAGACGGTATAATACTCTCGATATTTATTATAGCTTCACTCACAATTTTAAATCTTCACTTTACCTTAGCCAACATGGCCCCAATCATTCTTCTAGTATTCGCAACCTGTGAAGCTGCTGTAGGTCTAGACTTGCTAGTAATGGTATCAAACACATATGGCCTAGATTGTGTACAAAACCTAAACCTGAACCTCCTACAATGTTAAAAATTATTCTACCAACATTGATAATTTTACCACTAACATGATATTTTAAAAAATACACTATTTGAACTAATACTACCACCCACAGCCTGATAATTAGCTCTATCACCCTCTCCCTTTTAAATTACCCCATGATAATAATACAAACTTCTCACTTACTTTCTTCACCAATTCACTATCAACACCATTATTCATCTTGACCACCTGATTACTCCCCCTAATAATCCTAGCCAGTCAAAACCACCTATCAAAAGAGCCACTTGTACGAAAAAAATGATATATTTCCATGCTGACTATACTCCAAATTTTCCTAATTATAACTTTCACCACTACAGAGCTAATTCTCTTTTACATTTTATTTGAAGCAATCTTAATCCCTACCCTAATTATTATTGCACGATGGGGTAATCAAACAGAACGACTAAACGCTGGTCTTTACTTTCTATTCTACACCCTAATCAGCTCACTTCTATACCCAAAATTCCCTAGGAACATTGAATATGATAATCAATTCTCTTACTATACAAAATCTTCCCAACTCTTGATCAAATAGTACTCTCTGATTAGCTTGTATAATAGCCTTTATAGTAAAAATACCTCTATATGGACTTCACTTATGACTGCCCAAATCCCATGTTGAAGCCCCAATTGCAGGCTCCATAGTCCTTGCAGCAATATTACTAAAACTTGGAGGGTATGGAATGATACGAATAACAATTATCCTAGACTCCCTAACAGAATATATAGCCTACTCCTTTCTAATGCTCTCCCTTTGGGGAATAATTATAAATAGCTCCATTTGCCTATGCCAAACACATTTAAAATTGCTCATTGCCTACTCCTCAGTAAGCCACATGGCACTTGTTATCGTAGCAATCCTTATTCAAACCCCATGAAGCTTTATTGGGGCTACAGTTCTTATAATTGCCCATGGCCTCACCTCTTCTTTATTGTTCTGCCTAGCAAACACAAACTATGAATGCATCCACAACTGAACAATAACTCTAGCCCATGGCCTTCAAACTCTCCTGCCCCTAGCAGCAACATGATGGCTCCTTGCTAGCCTAACCAACTTAGCCCTCCCCCCCATCATTAACTTGATTGGTGAACTATCTATAATAATAGCATCCTTCTCATGATCACACTTAACTATTATTTTAATAGGTATTAATATGCTCATCACTGCTCTCTACTAGCTATATATACTAACTATAACACAATGAGGAAAATATACATATCACATCAACAGTATCAAACTCTCCTTCACTCGAGAAAATACATTAATAGTTATACATCTACTACCCATTATCCTATTATCTACCAACCCCAAACTAATTATAGGATATATATACTGTAAATATAGTTTAAACAAAACATTAGATTGTGAGTCTAATGATAGAAACTCAAAAACTCTTATTGACCAAGAAAGTATGCAAGATCTGCTAAGTCATGCCCCCATACATAACAGTATGGCTTTCTTACTTTTAAAGGATAGAAGTAATCTGTCAGTCTTAGGAATCGAAAAATTGGCACAGCTCCAAATAAAAGTAATAAGTTTATTTCCATCTTCCATCTTTCTCTCACTTACACTTCTAATTACCCCCTTTATTATAACAACTAAAAAATATAATAACTACACTTACCCCAGCTACATGAAAAACTCTATCACCTGTGCATTTATAACAAGCTTAGTTCCAACAATTATATTCTTACACACAGGCCAAGAAATAGTAATTTTTAACTGACACTGAATAACTATCCAAACTATAAAATTTTCCCTAAGCTTCAAAATAGATTATTTCTCCACAGTCTTTGTACCAATGGCACATTTTGTTACACGATCTATCATAGACTTCTCAATATGATATATACACTCAGATCCCAATATCAGCCACTTCTTTAAATACTTACTTCTATTTCTCATCACTATATTAATTCTAGTCACTGCCAACAACCTATTTCAACTTTTCATTGGATGAGAAGGCTTTGGCATTATATCTTTCCTCCTTATTGGCTGATGATATGGAGGAACAGATGCAAGCACAGCAGCCCTTCAAGCAATTCTCTACAACCGCATTGGGTACACTGGCTTTGTTTTAGCAATAACATGATTCTTAACTTACTCCACTCCAACTCATGAGAGTTCCAACAAATGTTTACTCTCTACTCAAACTCCAACACCCTCCTTCTACTAGACCTCCTCCTAGCAGTTGCAG